ACTGTGAAGCAATCCTCATCTGTCCCCTTTCAACCTTAATCCAACCCAGTCCTTTCCCCTGGGCCTTGCAGCCCCTCCGAGCAAGACACACACACAACACCCAACCCCCAGCACACTATGATGACTCAGTTACACCTTAATTTGGTCAAGACATTCCACCCCCTATATTCACAGAAGGCACTGTTTGAAATCTTTCGGCCGGAGAGGACCTCTAGCTCCACGGCTGACGTTGCCAGATCACCATCGTCAGGCCAGGCGTGGTGCTACATCGCAGCCTGTCATCCCCTATCTTTGGAGGCTGAAGGCAGGCGGATACACCTTGAGCGCCCGAGAGTTCAAGACCAGCTGAGCAACGAGGGCGGCCCATCATCTCCAAATCAATAGAAAAATTCCCCCTGGGCCGTAGTGATGCATCTGTAGTCCCCGCTACATCGGGCGGCTGAGGCATGGAGATCGCTTGAGCCGCCGGAGTTTGAGCCTGCCGGAGTTCAGGCTGAATGCCAAGGCCACTCCTCAACGCCTGGGCCACAGAGAGCGACCTGTCTCAAAAACAACGCCCCAGCAAAAAAAGAAACGGTCCCTGCGAGCATATGAGTGATGCCCCCTCACAATACCGAATGTTTTACGTGTCCTGACTCCCGAAACATTGTGCATTGAATAGGCCTTTCTTTGGAGACACGAGTATTTTGGCGATGCCATTCAAATATCAGGATCAGTAGATGAGATCATTCTGGATTATCTGGGCCCCTCCATCCGAATGACGCGTGTAACGCATTTTTTTTTTTGTTTTTTTTTTTTTGTCCAAGAGATGGCATGGAGGAGAAGCCGCATGGAACAGATTTGGGGGTGCAGCCACAAGCCCAAGGACAGAGACACACAGAGAATTTCCCTTGGACCCTCCTGGAGGGAGGGCGTGGTCGGGCCGCCCCTCCTTCAGACCGTCGGCCTTCCCCACTGCGGAGACTAGTTTTAAGCCTCACGTTGCGGCACTTTTCAGGAAAGCTCACACAGCCGCACACAGTCAGCACACTCCGGGCACCTGCTTGGGGAAGGAGTTTGCGGAAACAGAGCCCCTGAATTCCTACCACACGGTTTCTCCTCCCACCACCTGTTGGGTGGCTCCCATGGGACTGTTCACTTCCTGCTCTGTCACCGTTTTAGCGGGCCCTACTGTCTTCTCGCAAGCATGCACAGCCCACGCCACGAGCCCCCGACCGGTGCCAGCTGCGCATGGCGGTGTCCGCCCCGTTGGCTCTGTCGGCCCTCTGTTCAGTAGCATCTTGCCACAGCCGGGAGGAGCAAACTGCAGAGGCCCGGACTTACTGGTTGACTAGTGCATTTATTAATTCATCTCATATTCCACACGTCGACTTAGCTGACTGTACCCGAGTGATGCAGGCGTCGGGCATGTCTGGCGAGAGACACGTGTAGATCTTTACACGACTGCCGTTATATGGCAGAGATGGCCCAACGAGAGGGCCTGACCCCAGCTCGAAGAGGGAGCGTCGCTGGCAGCTTTGGGGTTGGGGGGTCGGCGCAGAATGGCATGTGCTTTTCCCTTTTCAATTACATTAACATTCCATAATCCTACAAATTCACTCGCTATCCCCAGTTTAATAAGAGCTTCCCTAGCTACACGTATACAGTATTACAGAACATTTCCGTCATTTACCGCAAGTCTAGCCTAGCCCATTGGCTCCCCGTTTATAATGCCTTCGCACATAGAGCAGAGGCAGAAGATTGGCTTGAGGCCAGGAGTTTGAGCCAGGCCTGGGCCGCTCTGAGCTCCTGGGCTGCAACGCGATCCTTCCCTCTCGGCCTTCTAAAGGCTGGGATTAGCGGCCCCTACGCACCGCGGTCCCGCCTCCATCTTCTCCAGCCACAACTCTGTCCTCATGAAACACTCACTCCCCATCCACCTCTCTTCCCAGCCCTGGTAACCACCATTCTACTTTCTGTCTCTAAGAATTTGACTCCGACGTGGGGGTAGTCTCTTGATAGCGGAATCAAATAGGGTTTTTTTTTGTGTGTGTGACCAACCAATTGTACTTAGTATAATGTCTTCAAGCTTCATTCATACTGTAGCATGTGTCATACTGTCCTTTCTTTCTAAGGCTGAATAATATACCATCGCGTGTCTATACCACATTCTGTTTGTCCACTCACCAACTGGTGGACACTTGGGTTGCTTCCACCATTTGACTATTGTGAAGATGCTGCTATGAACATGGATGTACGAATACCTGCTTTCAATACCTTCAGCCATATACCCAGAAATGGAATTGCTGGATCATATGATAATTCTATGTTAAATCTTTTTTAGGAGCTGCCAGACTGTTCCACCGTGGGTGTCCCACTTTGTACCAACAACAACGCACAGGGTTCCAATTTCTCCACAATCTTGTGATTTTCTTTTGTTTTTGTTTTTTATAATAGCCATCCTAATGTGTGTGAAGTGCTACCTTGTGCTTTTGATTTGGTTTTCCCTAGTGATTCGTAATGTTGACTATCTTAATGGCAAATGTGCTTACTAGTCATTTGCATATCTTCTTTGGAGAAATGTCTGTTCAAGTCTTTTGCCCATTTTTTAATTGGGTTGGGTTTTTTTGTTGTTGTTCTTGAGTTGTAGGAACTCTTTATATAGCCTAGATATTAATCCTTATCACATATATATGGTTTGCAAATATTTTCTCCCATTCCATGGGTGGGTTGCCTTTCATTCTTTTGGTAGCAAGTATCCTTTGGTGCACAAAAGTTTTTAATTTTGATGGAGTCTAATTTATCTATTTTTTTTTCTTTTGTGCTTTTGGTGTCATATCTAAGAAATCATTGGCAAATTCAACATCCTGAAGCTTTTCCCCTATGGTTTCTTCTAAGAGTTTTATAGTTTTAGCTCCTACATTTAGGTCTTGGGTCTCTTTTGAGTTGATTTTTGGATAGATGTTAATTTGATGCACAAAGAAATACAGCAGCAGAGCCCGGTCCTGAGTGTATGGTACACTGAGAGACAGATGCCATCTTCTGAAAGCCTCTGGGGTAGAATAAGATCAGATTGTATGTGAAAAACCAGTAGACTTCAGAGAAAATCAAACCAATCTTTTCTTCCCTAATCTCCAGCCTTCCAGGTAATTCCAGTCAAATGAAAGAGAGAGAGGAAGATGATTTGACAAGACACACGACATGTAGCAAAGAAAGGCAGGTGTTTGTCATACGGAGAAAAGGGAAGTAGTTTTGTTTACACGAATCCTGACAGTGTCTTATAATACAGAAGGAAGAATATTTTCCATCTGCTCGAAAATCCAACCAGGGCATGTGAAGGTGTTCGGAGTTACCCCTCTGGCCTCATCTTGGGGTGTCTCAGCCTACCACGGTTACCTCTGTTAGTTCACGCCCTCTTGCAGAATTGCAAAGGCCCACGGAATGAAAGCAGTTGCTACGAGGGCTCCTGAAAAGTAGGAGTTAACCAACCGGATCCTTATTCTATGCCCCTCCCGCCAAGAACACGGACTTTGTCTTCAAGGACCTCCTAGATTGTTGGGGTAACTAGACGTAGATGTTTGATGCGCACATTTATTTGTTAGAAGTTATGAGACTGACAATTAGGGTGTGAGGCAGATAGTGGCAGGAACGTGATATTATTGCACAGGGAGGTTGGGAACCACCTGTGAAGGACCTTGTATGTCAGTCCAAGGAATGTGAGCTTTCACCTAGAGCAGAGGTGGCAAACTCAAAATCCCACAGAGACCAGGCATGTCAATAAGAAAAGCTGACCAGAAATGAGGTAGTAGGGAAGGGTAGGGACTATGGCAAAGTGCACAACTCATGCTCTGTCTAAAGGGGCAGCTACTCTTAGTTCTAGCTGATTGTTACCACATGGGATTATTGATCCAATGTGGCTACATCTTCCAGTTTTCTAAGAGAAGACAGAAATCCAGGAGGGCCCCAGGTTTTTAAAAACATACAGGCCAGGCCAGGCGCGATGGCTCACACTTGTAATCCTAGTACTCTGGGAGGCCAAGGCGGGAGGATCGCTCAAGGTCAGGAGTTTGAAACCAGCCTGAGCAAGAGTGAGATCCCGTCTCTACTGAAAACAGAAAGAAATTAATTGACCAACTAAAAGTATATATAGAAAAAATTATCCCGGCATGGTGGCGCATGCCTGTAGTCCCAGCTACTCAGGAGGCTGAGGCAGGAGGATCGCTTGAGCCCAGGAGTTTGAGGTTGCTGTGAGCTAGGCTGACGCCACGGCACTCTAGTCCCGGCAACAGAGTGAGACTCTGTCTCAAAAAAAAAAAAAAAAAAAAAAAAAAAATACAGGCCAAACCAAACTGGTTTTTAAGATCAATATGGCCCATGGGCCATCGATCTGCCACCTTGGCCGATTGAAGGGAGCTAGTGAAGGTGTTTAGGTGAAAAAAGGTGTATGATCCTATCTGTGCTTTAGAAAAATCTAACTGCTGTGTGGGAGATGAATTAATAGACTAGATGAAGGAAAACGAATGAGGAGCCTGCTTCAATAGTCTGGATGCGAGGTGGCCGCGGTCTGTGCTAGGACGGGGCAGCGGGGAATGCTGGTGGGCTGACTTGGAGTCCAGCATGCAGGGGGAAGAATTTAGCTTGAATGCGCATCTAGAAGAAGGCAAATGCATGGTTTCCATGCACGCTCCCCACACGCCCCTGTCCTAAACTGGGAGCTGAAAGGCACAGGGCAGATAGATAATCCTTAAAGCCAAAGGGCAGGAAATTTCAGCAAAGACTTCAGTTCTTCCTGCAGTCTAATTTTACTCTCGATTATTTTAGAGATAGGCTCCTTAACCAACTCCTCCAATCCTCATCCGCTCCCATGGGATATTTTTAATTTATGGGCTCAGCACACAATTCAAATTAAAAACATGCATCTCACGGAGTCCAGCTCTGTTGAGCAGCCAGTGGGAAACGCAGGGCCAGCTCCTCTGCAAGAACGCTGGGCTCTGCGTCCCAGCAGAGTTGGGGGGACCTGGCTCCCCAGGAGGCCGTTTCGTGGAGACTGACATGCAACAAGTGGGCTTTGGATCCATTCTGTGGTCTTGGGGGTTGCGCAGCTGGTCCCCGGGGTCCTTGGAAAGGCAGAGGGTAATAGAGTGGGAATGCAAGGGAGGAAGGGTGACTTCCTTCCAAGAATGTTTCTGGCACCCAACAAGTGCGGTGCTAGCACTCTGCCACTCTGCAGACCCTTCCAGTCTTTGAGGGCTGTACTTGCGGGCGTGGGCACGGGAGACCCTAAGACGCTGCAGAGCAAAGCCTCCCTCGCTGGCACGGCGCGGGAGCAGGCGCCCCGTGGGACGCGGGAGAGGATGGGGCAGTCAGGCAAAGGTTAGGGGAGGGAAGCAGAGGCCGAGGTCCAGAACGGCTGGGCTCCGGGAAATGTTTGTATTTCTCCACCAGGAGGGAGGACAAACACGCTTTTTTTTCTCGTGCCTTCTGGGCAGCTTTGCGCGCTCTCCAGCACAGAACGCGTCCGAGGAGGAAAGAGCGAAGCTGAAAATAAAAATCATCCTGGGGCTGGACCCGGCAAGTCCTCTGCAGCATGCATCTCATCGGACCCCCGGGCCGCCTCCCAGAAACGACCACTTACGTGAAGCTGCATGCCTTTCCCAGCCCTGCCTGGCGACAGGCTTTGCCTCTCGGGCAGACTGGCGGCTTGTGACCTGGGCTGCAGAGAAAGGACCTCACCGGGACTCTCGTTTCCTGGCTGGAGTTTCTCTTCTCGGTGCGCAGGCAGCACCCACCCAGCGGGCGGGCCCGCGCCGGTGATGCAGCTGGACGCGCGGCAGCCCGGCGAGTGGCAGCCGTGGGGTAAGCATCTGTGCCTCTGCGGGGACTCCGGGGCCGCTAGGCAGTAAGGACACTTGTCCTGCCTCCGCCATGTACAACGGGTCGTGCTGCCTCATTGAGGGGGACCCCATCTCCCAGGTGATGCCGCCACTGCTCATTCTGGCCTTCGTGCTGGGCGCCCTGGGCAACGGGCTGGCCCTGTGTGGCTTTTGCTTCCACATGAAGACCTGGAAGCCGAGCACCATCTACCTGTTCAACCTGGCCGTGGCCGATTTCCTCCTCATCGTCTGCCTGCCCTTTCGGACCGACTACTACCGCAGACGGCGGCACTGGGCGTTCGAGGATATTCCCTGCCGGGTGGTGCTGTTCATGATGGCCATGAACAGGGCCGGGAGCATCGTCTTCCTCACGGTGGTGGCTGTGGACAGGTATTTCAAGGTGGTGCACCCCCACCACGTGGTGAACGCCATCTCCAACCGCACGGCGGCCGGCCTCGTCTGCGTCCTGTGGACCGTAGTCATCCTGGGGACTCTGTATCTTTTGATGGAGAGCCACCTGTGCGTGCAAGAGAAGTCCGTGTCTTGTGAGAGCTTCATTATGGAGTCCGCCAATGGCTGGCACGACATCATGTTCCAGCTGGAGTTCTTCTTGCCTCTCGGCATCATCTTGTTTTGCTCCTTCAAGATTGTCTGGAGCCTGAAGCAGAGGCAGCAGCTGGCCAGACAGACTCGGATGAAGAAGGCCATCCGGTTCATCATGGTGGTGGCTGTGGTGTTCGTCACGGGCTACCTGCCCAGCGTGTCGGCCAGGCTGTATTTCCTCTGGACGGTGCCCTCGAGTGCCTGTGACCCCTCCGTCCACCTAGCCCTGCACGTCACCCTCAGTTTCACCTACATGAACAGCATGCTGGACCCCTTGGTGTATTATTTTTCAAGTCCCTCCTTCCCCAAATTCTACACCAAGCTCAAAATCCGCAATTTGAGACCCAGGCAGCCAGGACACCCAAAGACACCACGGCCGGAAGAGATGCCAATTTCAGACCTCTGTCGTAAGAGTTGCATCAGCGTGGCAAATAGTTTCCAAAGCCAGTCTGATGTTCAGTGGGATCTCCAAATGTGTTGAATGGCACTAAGTAAACTGACCAACCACATCTAGAAGGACAGATTGGTGACTTTAGAATGAATTCATGCTAAGGGGTGGGGGGCGTTGGAAACGCCACCAGCCTTTCTGAGCTGTATCTTCATGCTGCTGGAAATGAAATGCACATGACTATACCTTTCTGGAAGGTTCCAGTCGATCAAAGTGAGTTGGTTGACTGTATATGATCTGATTACAAGGGTAAGGCACCCTATGGGCTGCTGGCCAGGGGGTTAGGAATCGCACAGCCCCTGTCACTTTAAATGGCTGAGTAAGTAGGAACGAGTGTTTAAATGGGTCAAGTTCTCTTTCTGGGGTGTGGGGAGTAGATAATGAACTTAAAGAGCTATCAGCATTTCCTATCCTCTGACCTTAAATCATCACTTGTCTTGCAAAACAGAAACTGGGCTAAGTTAATACTTTTATTTCAGACCCAGTGAGGCTCTTTTGACTGGGATGCCTCGGTCCTGATGGTTTCATCTTCAAAGGGACCCAGTATACATTTCTTTGTCATTGTTTTGACTTCCCGGCAGCCCAAGAACAATAGCCGAACAGTCGGCCCTGACCTTCTTCAAGCTTCACATTTTTCTGCAAATCTTTGCTTTTCTAAGAAGGTGCTGAGAGGTATGTTTACCTGCCCCGGTTTCTCCAGTGGGATATGCTGAGTCCAGCATAACAGCTTTGGCTGCTTGTTATGTGACTGTGAATTGGAATTATTCACTCATTTATCCTCCAAGTGTGCACTGCGTTCGTATTTGCTGTCAGGCACGATGCTGGTGTCCTTTCCACCGGGAGGGTCATTAATCAACTCTTGTGCGACAGTAACATTTTTCAGGTGGCAAACAGAGAAGTTGAGGACTTCCCTCCTTTCATGGAATGTAGTTTCTAGACCAGTTCTGTGCAAACATCAGGGTTATTGTCTTATTGCAAGGTTGCCTGCCTTATGCACGAGTTTCCCAGATATGTGCCCTCAAAGCTAGATGACTTTATGAAATGACAGGCTGCCCTGCCCTGAATTTCCAAGTCAACCGACTCCTTTATCTACACTCTCTCAAAATTCCCAGGGTCCTCTCCCTACATTAGGACCCGGCCATCTTCTAGTCTTCGGCCTCAAAACACCCGTGTAGGCTGTCTCTATTATTTCTTTTTTCAGAGACACTGAACAGCCCGGTGACAAAACGTACGGGCTAGAGAGAGTCAGAGGGACCTTAAGTTTGGATCCCAGCTCTGCCACTTCCCAGATGTGGGACCTCTGGGCAGATCTTATGTAACCACTGTTAGCTTCAACCTCCCTCCTCTGTCAAACAGGGGTAACATCAGTGCTGACTGCAGAGGGTCGTTGGGTGGATTCAATGAATGTACAACCCTGAAGTGAAAGGATTCTGTTCACTGTTATATCCCGGGTACGTAGACGACACCTGCACATAGTAGGTACCTAATAAATATTTGTTAGATGAATGAATGAATAAGTGCATGTAAAGCATTATGCCCTGTGCCTGGCAGTAAATGCTCAATATTATGGCTCACTATATTAATATGTTTTACACATACAGAAACTGAGGCACAGAAGCAATTTCCTTTGGGGGCTCAGAGCCCCCAAGTAGCTGCTCGGTCACCACGCCTGAATCCCCCCTCCTCCCTAGCTCCCTGGGCAGGAGTGAAAGCAAACAGTATAATCAGCACCAAAGAACCATATTTCCTCCCGATAGAAATCTGTGAAAACTCACTTCTGCTTTTAATTCTATTCTTAGTTACAATTCTTTCTTGGGCTGTTCCTTTCTTGCTTCATTGTAATAAAAATGGATTCTGAAAGAAAGTCTGTGTCCTGCGTGTGACTCTAGGTTAGAAGACTCCTAGGACTTTGTCCTCCAAGGGAAAAGGGCTGTGCTACCCAGAAGTACACGGCAGGGAGGTAAACAGAGGCTGTCACTAAAAAATGGCAAGAACAAACAGAAAGAAGGAAGAATCAAACCAGGCTGGGCGCTGTGGCTCACACCTGTAATCCCAGCGCTTTGAGAGTCTGAGGCAGGAGGATTGTTTGAGGTCAGGAGTTTGAGACCAGCCTGAGCAACAGTGAGACCCCATCTCTACCCCAAAATAGAAAATTTAGCCAGGTGTGGCAACATGCACCTGTAGTCCAGCTACTCGGGAGGCTGAGGCAGGAGGATCGCTTGAGCCCAGGAGTTTCAGGTTGCAGTGAGCTAAGATGACACCACTGCACTCTACCCGGGGTGACAGAGCGACACTCTGTCTCAAAAAACAAAAAGAAAAGAACAGAAAAGTCAAAGCAAACCTTCACCCTAGTTCTTTTTTTTTTTTTGAAGAGACAGGGTTTCACTCCGGCCTGGGCTGGGGTGCCGCCTCCCCAGTAAGTAGCTGGGACTACAGGCGCAAAGAATGGGGTCTCAGTTGCTATGTTGCCCAGGCTGGTCTCAAACTCCTGAGCTCAAGCGATCCTCCTGCCTCAGCCTCTCGGAGTGCTAGGATTAGCAGCCTGAGCCACCACACCCAGCCCTAAACCCAGACTTGATTCTACATTTGCTTCCCCTTTTAAGTTCGTAGAATGTGATGAAAAATAAATCACATAAAGAAGTTTCTTCAGAAACTGTAAGGAAGAGGAGCATACCTTTGGTGACAAAACTTTGTTTAAACTACCTGAAACAGGAAAACAGTCAATTTACAGGAAAACGTTTTTTCCTTTTATGGTCTTTCAGGAAAAGTCACATAAAAGCTAGAAGAGGGGCCGGGCGCGGTGGCTCACGCCTGTAATCCTAGCACTCTGGGAGGCCGAGGCAGGAGGATCGCTCCAGGTCAAGAGTTCAAAACCAGCTGGAGCAAGAGTGAGACCCTAGTCTCTACTAAAAATAGAAAGAAATTAATTGGGCAACTAAAAATACATAGTAAAAATTAGCCGGGCATGGCGGCACATGCCTGTGGAACCAGCTACTCAGGAGGCTGAGGCAGGAGGATTGCTTGAGCCCAGGAGTTTGAGGTTGCTGTGAGCTAGGCTGATGCCACGGCACTCTAGCCAGGGCAACAGAGTGAGACTCTGCCTAAAAAAAAAACAAAAAACAAAACAAAACAAAAACTAGAAGAGGTATTCGACCAGATAGTCTATAGGGATTATGTGGAAAAAGAATAAGAAGTACCTTTTGTTGGCGCGATGATAACACTTTAAGTTTCGGTCTGTTCTGAGCCTGGGATTCCCTACACTTCCTCACAACCGGAACGTTAGGCTGCTGTCTGAGCTCTCTAGCATGCAGGGGCTGAATCCCAGAGGGGCTAGAATCCCGGGCGCAAGGGGTTGAGCCAGTTGTTCAAAATTCTACAGCGAGGTGGGGACTTGGCCACTCTGTGACACGTGGCCTCCACTTGCAGCCTCAAGCCACCAGCATCACAGTGAGTGTGTCAAGGGCTCCCGGACCAGCTACGTCCCTTGCAGGTCCTGGTGAAAAATGAAAATGCAAGGTCTCTTGTTCATAAAGTATTAAGGTGTCTAGACAGTCACCGCAGAGCATTAAGCCGAGCACGGGGCCCTTCTGAGCTCATCCATAAAGGCGGGGCTCTAAGAGAGAGAGACAGACAGACAGACAGAAGACAGAGAGATATGGGGCAGAATAGACAGACGGGCTCACACATAAGGGCCTAATCTGTGCGCACGTCCCAGTGTATCCGAACATAAAATGATACCGCGGGCAGACGTCAATAGGATTCATTCACTCATGCTTTCCCTCTTTTGAGGAACATTCGTGAAGCACCAGCTCTGTTCCAGGCGTAGGAGAAGAAACACAAACGAAAGACATAGTCCCTGACCCCACGGAGAGCACTGAGCAACCAAGGGGAAAAAATAAAATGGTACATCAAGGCCACGGCGGCGAGAGTGGCAAACACGGGCTTCCACAGGAGCATCCAGGGGCCCTTCCTCCTGTTTCAGGCGACGGGGAGAGTCTTCTCAGAGGCAGTGGCTTGCAAATCGGCCCTGCAGGACGCTCCGGGAGCGGCCAGGGAATCCTGGCAGAGCTGGAGAGGTGAGAAGGAGCACGCTGACTGTCTGGGAGGCGCAGGGAGACAGTGGGGCAGGCTGCAGCTGTGACCGCCTGGACAGAAGCAAAGCCCCGAGTCCGGCTGGGGGCGAAGCATCTGTTCGCAACCCTTACAGTGCAGAAGACTCATGAAAAGCCTTTAGGATCCCCTTATCTTTTTTTTTTTTTTAAATAATGTTTCTTTATTTGCAGAAGGCATATAATTTTTTGTTCAAATTCAAAGAACACACAGATATATAGAGTAAGGCGTAAATGTCTTCTTTTGGTTCCTCTTAATCTTATTTCCAGGAAACGACAGCTTTCAGCATTCGGGGTATATGTGCATTTTGCACACAAAGAGTCTTTGGCCTTATTTTACAAAAGCAAGATCACACCCCATATATCCATGTCGGTTAGATCTAGACACTGTTTTGCAAAGTAGTTTCATCACAAATAACTTCCCACATCACAACGTAGAAATTGAGCTCATTCTTTTTTTTTTTTACTTTTGAGACAGAGTCTCACTTTGTTGCCCAGGCTAGAGTGAGTGCCGTGGCGTCAGCCTGGTTCACAGCAACCTCAATCTCCGGGGCTCAGCGATCCTCCTGCCTCAGCCTCCCAAGTAGCTGAGACTACAGGCATGCACCACCATGCCCGGCTAATTTTTTGTATATATATTTTTAGTTGGTCAATTAATTTATTTCTATTTTTGGTAGAGACAGGGTCTCGCTCAGGCTGGTTTCGAACTCCTGACCTTGAGCAATCCGCCCCGCCTAGGCCTCCCAAAGTGCTAGGATTACAGGTGTGAGCTACCACGCCCGGCCTAGCTCATTCTTTTTAAACTACATTTCATTGTATAAATCAGTGGGCCCCAACTTTTTTGGAACCAGGGACCAGTTTCATGGAAGACAATTCTTTCATGGGGCGGGTGGTGGCAGATCTCTGTGGCCCAGGGGTTGGGGACCCCAGGTATAAATGATCCATATATACTTTACTTAACCAATGACCTTTTCATAAACATTTAAGCTGTTTTCAATTTTTCTTCTATCGCAACCATGCTATAGTGGATATTCCGAATGATATATCTTTGGGCACATGTGTCAGGGTTTGGGGGAGATTCTTGATGATTCTTAGACGCGGTGTTGTTGGGTCAAAAGACAGCCATACTTTGGAGAGGTGTAGCACACGGGGCCTAAGAGCCTTGGAGCCAGACTGGGTTCAAATCCCATCTCTTTAGTAGCTGTGTCGCCTAAGGCAAGTTACTTAACGTCTCAGTGCTTCACTTCTCTTGTTTGTAAAATGAAGAACAAAGGGTTGTTGTGAATACTGAATGAGTCTAGATGTATAAAGCACATACTATAGCGTCCGACATAGAGTAGGCACCATTTCTGTGTTAGCTCTTGTTATAATCATGACAGATACCACCAAATTGTCTAGCAAAAAGGCAGAACCAATTTGTACTCCCACCAAGAGTATATGCAAAATTCTTCTGTACCAACTCTTGGGCACAAGGTCCTTGTTTGTTTTGTTTAATAAGCATTTTTTCTCCTTTAAAAAAATAAGACCTTCACCCCTTTAAAATGAAATCCAATGTATCAATTTATTCTTTTTTTTTTTTTTTTTTTTTTTTTTTGAGAGCAGAGTCTCACTGTGTTGCCCGGGCTAGAGTGTCGAGGCATCAGCCTAGCTCACAGCAACCTCAAACTCCTGGGCTCAAGCAGTCCTCCTGCCTCAGCCTCCTGAGTAGCTGGGACTACAGGCATTTGCTACCGATGCCCCGGCAATTTTTTCTATATATATTAGTTGGCCAATTAATTTCTTTCTATTTTTAGTAGAGACAGAGTCTCTCGCTCTTGCTCAGGCTGGTCTCAAACTCCTGACCTTGAGTGATCCTCCCGCCTTGGCCTCCCAGAGTGCTAGGATCACAGGCGTGGGCCACTGCGCCTGGCCTATCAGTTTATTCTTTTGCTGCATGTGCTGTTGGTGCTGTACCTAGGATAGACCTAGTCTAACCCCGGGTCATGAAGACTTACTCTTATGTTTCTTCTAAGAGTTTAATAGTTTTAGCTCTTACGTTTAGGTATAGGATACATGTTGATTTAATTTCCGTGTACAGTATAAGGAAGGGAGTCCAGTTCTTTTGCTTGTGGCTGTCTAGTTGTCCCAGGATCATTTATCAGAAAGACTGCTCTTTTCCCCATTGAATTGTCTCGATGTCCTTGTTGAACATCAGCTGCCCAAAAACGTAAGGGTTTATTTCCGTGCTCTTAGCGCTTGCTTCGATCGATAACGTCTGTCCCTAAAACCAGAATCACTGTCTGGATTACTGTAGTTTTCAGGAAGTTTTAAATTGGGAAGTGAGAGTTCTCCAATTTTGTTCTTCTTTTTTCAAGATTATTTGGTTACTCTGGTTTGTCCTTAGGTTTTTTTACATAAACCCATACCAGCATTTCAAAACTCTGAAATAATACTCTTCTCCTTTTAAAAAATGTATATGTTATACTTAGCTTCCTACCTCTTACTCACTGGCTTCTACCACTTCGTCTGCCTCATCAAGGGCTCCGGGTCCCTTATTTCCTCCCTCCTAGCCAAGGGTCTTGACTCAACGTCATTTACACTCTGCAGTGGGCCAAAGTGGCCGCGATGCACTATGCCTCCTATGGCTCCGCCGTTACATGGCCCGTCCTCGTGGAATACGGACTGGCTTGTGCCACGTGCTTTAAACAATGGACTTGTGGGAGGGGAGCTCTGGGATTTCCAAGCCCAGGCATTAAGGAGTTCTGCTTGTGTGTTT